GGTTCAGTTCAGGTTCATAAATTCAAAGTTCAGTTCAGGTTCAGGTTCAAAGATCTGCAAAATTTGTGGTTCAGGTTTAGGTTCAGTTCAGGTTCATTGAACCTAAATTTGAACTGAACTAACCCTAGGAACCCTAGTTATATAGCACCCTATACTAACTCTATGCCATATCTCAAAAATGTACTAAGTAAACAGGATCAGGTACCTTAAGTAAAAATGCTCAGGACCCACAAAAAACTAAAATTAAAACCTTATATAGTATATATTATATTATATAAAAACTCCTATATATATTAAAGCTGCACTCTAACCCTAATCTAACTCAAATACAAAATATATAGAGTGTTATGATAACACAGTGTTATGAATATAATATTCCTTAATTTAATTATTTTTTAGTAGTATTTTTTTATGTTTAATTTATTTATTTTGCATAGTTTTATATTTATTTTGCATGTTTTTATATTTATTTTACTTATTTTCTATTTATTTTACATGGTTTATATCTAATTTAATTTAGTATTTTGGTTATTTTTATATTTTAATTTATTTTTAACTATGGCATCTTTAGTTATTTTATTTTATTTTACATAGTTTGATATTTATTTTTATATTTAATTATTTTATATACATATTTTTTATTTATTTTTATATTTAATTATTTTATATATATATTTTTATATTTTAGGGGATTAATTTTTGTACCCCCACATTTAATATTTGTACCCCATAATGAAAATTCCTGATCGCATGTAAAATGATCATCACAACCTTATATGTGCTTGGTTAAATAGCCACATAATCAAGTGACTAATACTAGACATTCAAGTAATATCGTTTCTCGCTATTACAGTTAAATATATAGACGCTCAAGATTTAAGAATACTTAAAAAACTACTACTGATTTTATGTAATTATGTTATTTCATTGGCAAGTTTATTTTATTTTTTTGTCTGAATTGCAAACGTTTGAACTATAAAATAAACCTGCTAAATTATTTAAGAAGGCGTAAGATCTTAGAAAAAGTATTGTTGATTAAAGAAAGGTGCATTCGGTATTTATTACAGCCAAGAACTTGTATACTACTAATAAGTTAAAATCAATTGCTATATTTTAAAGCTTTCTGTTTTATTATATAATACGATCATTTTTGTTTTTTAAAATATTTATAAGCAGAAAAAGATAAAAAATGTTTTATAAAAAAACTCTAATAGTAACATTTGACAGTAAGAATTCCTTTACTATTTATATGTTTAATTCACTCAAAATAAATTTATAAAGAGTCATTTATATTTGGGCAAGTACGAGCATTGTGCTCAGGTTGCCGACAAATGGTACAATGCTTTACTTTGGGTTCTACTAACTCAAAACCAGAGAAATCTTTCTTGGTTGAGTTAGTTTGTTGGTGACTAGAAGCTTCTAAAGGATGTCCTTTGGTACTAATTACATTGGTGTTTTGCAAAGTTATTAACTGGGTATTAATTATATTCTTTAATGACACCCATGCTGTTGATTGTTGAAATGTTGGCCATTCCTGATACCTTTGCTGTAAATCTTGTAAGAGATTGAAATGAGCCTTCAGAATGAGAAGTATCTTTTTCGATTTCAGTAGTTGGTAGGTTTTCAGAAATTCGCCAATGTTTATAAACATTATCAAGCATTAGACTCTGATTTTCTCCATAGCATTAGATAATATGAATACAAGAAAATCTCATAGTTCTTAAAAAAGATCCACTACATGGTGGCAAGGGCTTTGTGCAGTAACATTTTTTGCTCTTTGATATTGCTTATTTATTTTTTTTAAAGCATAAGTTGAAACTTTAATTTTGATATTTTTGTACAGAACATTATTAATAGCAAAAGTTGAAAAGTGAATGTGCTTTGACTCAGTCATGTTATCAATTTTCTTTGTTTGGTTTGTTACTGCTAGTAATATCGTCATATAAACACATAAAGATCTCCCGCAGATGTTTGAAGATATGTTTTGAGAATTGCATATGCGCTCTCAATTTGGGAAGTTGAAGTAGTTCTAAGGTGAAGTAATATATCTGTCCATGCTTTTACAAATCTTTTTTTTCATAGCATCCAGGTTTTTTCAATATATAAAATAATTTTTGGTTTACTGGTATAAGTTAAACGAAAATTATTCCATTTTATATCAAATTCATTTTCAGTCTTTGATTGAATGATGTTGTTCCATTTAGCAAAAAAATCTTCTCATTCATTGCCTTCTTTATCACTCACTTCTTTTGAGAACTGTGGCTTACAATTTTTTAAGATGTTTTTACTAATGTGCTATACACAAAGTAAATTTTTTGAATTAGGGAAGATAGTACCAAAAGTATTCATTAGGACAAGTTCTCTATCCGTTACAATAACACTAGGTTGTTCTATTTCATTAAACAAATGCTTAATGTGAGTTAGATTCCACCTATAATCCTCTTCAGTTCACCTTTTATAAAAACAAAACAAGAATAAAAGGTGGTATTGAAGCTAGTTATGCCTATTACATTTAACAAGGGCATATTAAATCTGTTCGTTTTATAAGGCAATTCATTAAAATTACAGTGGGATAGCAACGAGTAAGAGTGACAGATTCATTGTGTGAAAAAATAAGGTGAGTAACAGAGCCAGTATTATCACATTTATACTCAAAAAAAAAAATCACCCTTTTGAAGTTTATTCACCAAAGCCTGAATAGAAATACGACCTGCTAGATTTTCTAAGCGAAGCCATGCACGTGTATTATAAATATCAACATTAGTTACTAGCATTTCTGGGTTGTTTTGATAAAGAGTCAATACAATTTCCCTAGGTTTTGAACTAGCAATAGTCATAGTTGCAATAGTTGCTATTTGTTGTTCTCCAAGTCGGCGAACAATAGGATGCCTTGCCATATTACTTGAATGACCATGATTATGGTCTGCATGGCAAACCTCTAAATACCATTTTCTTTTATGTTTAACAGCATATAACTCAAAAGGGTAGTCGATAAGCCTGGTACTTTTTTGTCTAGGACTAGATTCTTCACTAAGTTCCAAGAAGCCTTGGTAAACACCACCACAGTTACATCATAGTAGCATATTTTTTAATTCACCATAGTTATCTTTTCGAGTTCTTTTTTTAATTAGCGCATAACCTTGGGTATTTGCGAAGCTTTGTGCAGCTTGAAAGAGCTCATTGGCACTATCATACACTTCGGGTGGTGGTGGAAGCATGATTTACTATGATAAAATAAACTATATTGGTATGTTCGAATTTAATATAATTTAAATCAAAAATTCGCAAAAGACAACAATAAAAACATTTGTTATTTATATTTGATACATGAAAATAAAAATTTTCATCCAACTAATTTGCTGATTTGACTTGGGCTATGCAATGGGAGTAATATTTTAATTTACTTTCTTATTCTGAAGCATTTGATTCTTTAATTCTTTGCAATTAGAAGCTATTAAATTGATTTTTTACTTTTAGTGCATTACTATGATTTATTTAAAGCCACATCTTATACCCTTTTAAGATTTTTTTTTTATTCTAAAATACACTATATATTTTTAAGATTATACCTGAAGAAGGCGACTTCTTAGCACTTCTATCTAATACATTGAATTTTCAAGTTTCTTCTCTTACACTAAATATTTATTACTAATATTATATTAAACACTAAAGAACTTTTATTTATTTATCAGGTTCTTTATTATGATCTTTGATCTTACTTTGGGTACATGAAAGATAAGTTTATATTAATTGTTTTTGTATAGCTAATTTATCTAAATTAAGACTTTTACCAGTTTTTTTCTGCTATTTCCTACTTTCAAATATTTTTAGCTTTTTTCATTTTGCTATTTCATCATGCGATTTTGAAACCTGAGTTTTTAATCTTGGACTATACTCATCTATTAGTCTTTCAATTATGCATGTTTTACTCGATTTTGGTTTGATTATGTTAATGCACCGATCGGGTATAGGTATAATTATTGATCACCTTGTATAGAATCACAGGCTTTCGATCACAGCCTGCAACACATATATTACATGAGTAGTATATACATACATATGTACATACATATAATAATTTTACATTTTCTCATTGCAAGCTACATTTACACCTTTTTCTTCTTAAAGCCACATCCTATATCTTTTTAGGTTTCGATTTTCTTGTTAACACTTATTAATAAATTTCCTTATTTTGATTAACATTTTTAGCACTTCCAGATTTAGGTTAATGATCATCATATTACTTAGCTATAGCTATATATTATAATAATTAGTGCTTCACAAGATCAATATTTAGAGCATTCAATATATACGTTAATTTATATTTGTATGTTTCAGTAAAAGTGTACTAGTTTACATTGTTTAAAGTATAAACTTAATACTTATCAAAAAAGTGTACTAGCTTGTTTAAAATTATACTATGCTGATACTTTATGTTAGTAGTAGCGATACTTTATGTTAGTAGTAGCGATGTTACTTGAATGTCTAGTATTAGTCACTTGATTATGTGCTATTTGACCTATCACATATAAGGTTGCAATAATTATTTCACCTGTGATCAGGAATTTTCATTATAGGGAGTATAAATATTAAATGTGGAGTACGAAAATTAATCTCCTATATTTTATTTAATTTGATTTTATTTATTTTAATTATTTTTTTAATTATTTTTACTTATTTTTTTAATTTTTTAAATTTTTTGATTTAATTTAATTTAATTAATTTAATTTACTTGTTTTTATATTTATTTATTTAATTTACATGCTTTTATATTTAAGTAATTTGATTTATTTTTAATTATAGCATTTTTTATTTATTTTATTTTTTTACAGGTTTATATTTATTTTATTTTATTTTACATTTTATTTTTATTTTATATATATATTTTTATATTTAATTTAATTTGATTTGATTTATTTTAATTATTTTTTAATTATTTTTACCTATTTTTTAATTTTTTTAAATTTTTTTAATTTAATTTTATTTAATTAATTTAATTTAATTTACCTGTTTTTACATTTTATTTTATTTAATTTAAACACTTTTATATTTAAGTTAATTAATTTAATTTAATTTACCCATTTTTGCATTTTATTTTATTTAATTTAAATATTTTTATATTTAAGTTAATTTAATTTATTTTTATATATTAATTTTTTTTTAAGTTATTTTTATTTATTTTATTCCATATCAATTTTGCTTATTTTTTTTATTTTTTAGAGTTTTTTTTTATTTTTTAATATTGCTTTTTTTGACTTTTTTCCCCTTTAATTTAACTTTCTTTTCTATTCTTTAATTTATCAGTTTTTTTTTAGTTTATTAGTTTTTTTAATTAATCAGTTCTTTTTTAAATTAATCATTTTTTTTTTAATTTATTGTTTTTTTTTTTTTAATTTAATGTTATCATTTCTTTTTAAATATAGTTTTTTTTTAAAAATTAGGTTTCTTTTTTTGTTATTTAGTTTTGCTTGTTTTTCTTTTTTAGTAATTTTTTTTAATTTTTTATTATCTTAAATTATTATTATTATTTTAAATAAGAGAATTATTATTTGTACACTAGTGTATATACACAGGGTATTGTTATTACTTGAAATTTTGCTTATAAAACTACTTTGGGGTTCTAACAAAAAATAATCTACACAAAATTTTAGTATAAAATACTCTCTAACTCTAATCTCTAATCCTAACCCTAACACTAATATTAAGTGGGGTTTTTTTATGAATTTATATGTTGCGTAGATTTGCAAATCAATTAATTAATACCCGTGTTTATACACTGGTGTAAACTTAGAAATTTTCTTTAAATAAAAGACAATTAAAAATTCAAACTCCGCCAAAGCAGAGTTTGAATTCTGCCAATTTCGCAGGAATGCGAAATGACAAAAGTCACGTGATACTGCCACTAAGGTGGACTTTAAAATCTCTAATTTACAGAGTTGCTTATAATACACTAATCTTTGTCACTATTTAAAAAAAAGTAACAGGCCCTATGAAATATCTCTCTGACGCAGAAGTATTTCATGGAGCCCATTACTTTTTTTCAAATAGTGACAGAGATTAGTGTATTATAAATAGGAAGACTAGCATGTAGAACCCGGCATTGCTTGGGTTCTAGTTTTTAATTTTTTGCTAATTTTTAGGCCTTAATAAATTAGATCATGGCATATGTTTTAGATTTCGACATTTGTTTTAGATTGCCAAAAAATTGGTGCTTACAGCCAGATTTTGGTATGATTAATACATGATCAGTATATAAAAAATTATTGAGTTACTATTATTACAGCATATTGTTCAATCAACATAATATTATATTTACAATGTTAACTATTTCAATTTTCTTTCTTTGTCTTATCCAATATATATGATACAAAAATATATGTCAAAAACTGTTCTTGCCAATTAACTAAAAATGTTTTGAACATAAGTTGGCCTTTGTTAATAAACATATAAACTTCAAGTTCTTTTGAAAATCTTTAATTATCTTTGATAACTTATAGTATAGCAAACTTGTTTATTTAAAATTTTGCCTTTTTTTAATACATAACACTCTATATAGTATTACATAAATAGGCACTAATAAAAAAATTTTAAATATGATCAGGGTTGTAAAAAAATGCAACACAAATTGAAGATTTTATTAATATTTGTTGACAATGCTTTAAGAATTATAATAAAGTTCAAAGTATGTATAATATTTATTTAAAGTTATGGTAATTCATCAACACTGTTATATCTTTGAAATTGCTTGAAAACTCAACCCACAGAACCCATGAAATACTCCTGAGTATTTTATGGATGCATTACTTTTTTTCAAATAGTGACCAAGGTTAGCATATTATAAGTAGGAAGATGAAAGTCTGATTCACAAAAAAGATAAGTTAATTTCTATTATTTTCCTATTACTTACTAAATATACTATGATTTAATTATCTCATAATTAATTGGTTACTTCACTAAGACTAACCACTAACCATTAACCATACTTTTATCAAAACTAATTGATCAAACATGTGAACATGTGATTATAACTGGATGTTCAATCAGATTTAACATAATTTGAGACAAAAGCTGCCTCAATACTTACATATCAAGCAGCTATTTATGTATCCTTTTCTAAATTATTGTTGTATTTTTTTTAAATAGGTGCAACTCCCATTATAGCTCAAAAAGGTCGCAAGCGATATTAAATTTTATTTTTTTTAAACTATTGATTTCTTTTAAAATGAACTTTTTTTTTTTACAATTATTGGGTTTATTTTTTAAGCTATTTTTTTAAATTATTATTTTTTTTTTATTGTTTTTTTATTGTTTAATTTTATTATTTATCACCATGGCGATTCATCCCCAGTAGGGCTGCTAATTAGCCTGTCTGGTCTGTTATGGTCCAAAGACCAATGTCTTTTAAAAAGTTGGACTGGGCTGTGGTTCAGGACTAATTAAAACTGATTAGTTTGAGAATGGATGGACTGATTATTAGACTAATTAAATATTACATAAGTTGCATAATTATATTGTATTATTATTATAGTCTCCATTCAAATTATAAATTATTAGTTTATTAAATAAAAGCTACATCTAACTGAATATTTAAATCTGTCTATTATTAGTGATGAAATAAATACACATGAACTTTGAGAATCATGTACGTATGTACATAATTTTTGTAGCCATATTTTTAATGAACTTGTACTATTAGTATACTTAAAAAATAATTCTAATTAAATATATTAAATCTATTAGATTTGTATATCTAACTCTTGTTAAAAAAACTAGTTATTATAATAAAATAGAGATTAAATAAGAAAAAACTCTATTTATAATTTTTAAATTTTTATAAGGGTGCTGACATTTATTAGGTAATATTTTAGGGGGTGGAGGGGTCAAGCAAAACCTTACCTCATATAAAACAATTATAGCCAATCAAATTTAGCTAAATATCTTACCTGGGGGTGGGGGTAAGCCTCTATAGTAAATAGATATTAGGTAATAAATGTTAGAGCCCTAATTGTTTAAACCTCATCTAATAGAGTACTATATAATACAGTAGTAAAGAGTAGCTTTTCTCAAACAACTTAATATATTAATACTGTTGTGTAATAATTTAGGTTAAGATTTTTAATTAAACATCCAACTAAAGCCGTTTGAAGTTAATTTTTCGGTTAACATCACTTTTCAGGACTCTTTAAAGGGGGGAAGGAGACAAATGAAACGAACATAT